TCTACAGGTAGGACAGAGGTGACGTCATAGCCACGCTTACGTTGCTAAGAGGACTTAATCTGGATGTAGACAGGGAAACATTTTTTTGAAATAGCACCCAAGTCTAATCTCAGACGACATCATTGCCAGCTTGAAAGGGAACTGTGATACACAAATCAATCTTCCTCGCCTTTCTTTCAGAGGGTCATTCGCCAATTAAACTATTTATCGGAGTATGTTGTTAATTCCCGTATCGTGCGTATGTTTAAGATACAACTGGATACTCACCTGCTTAAAGGCAACCTGAAATGCCGTCGTGATTTTCTGATGGCTAAGACAATCTACAAGGTAGACTGCTCGACAAATCACAGTCTAGTCATCCCCATGATGAGTTCCCGTCTCCTAACTCGCTGGAGATCACAAGGCGAGTGAACAGAAGGTAAACTATGTAATGTCATGTGTCTGGTCATTGCCTAGACCTCAGCGGTCAACAGTCTCACCGTCAGAAAGAAATGGATGCATTGGAACACAACGTCGCCATTATGGTCGAGTGATATCTACTACCGAAAAAAATATATTGCACTACCCCGGACGTCGTGATTCGAGAACTATTCAATCACAGGAACGGTTAAAAGATATTGACGAAGAAATCATCAATGTGCTTTCAGAGGAAACAGTGCAGTTTCGTAAAAGGAAAGCTAGACAATGACTCTGTACTCCCTGGCTTTCTCAATATTATCGAAAAAAATTATCAGTACACAAATAAACTAACAAATGATATTATTGGTACAACTAAATGTCCGCAAAAGTAAAAATACAAACATAAATGTGTACTTAACGATAGAAATTAGTATGTTTTTATGAAAGTGACCTCACATGGTTTTGGAAATATGAGGATGCATGAGGCATGTTGAGTTTAACCAGAGATAAGTCAATTTTTAAAGCGAACAGAACATACTTGGGCATAAAGATCCACTCTGCCACCATCCCATTTTTAAAAAAATATTACCTCCCATAGATCCCAAATTTCCATGAACGTATTTTTACGGGATTAACACTCAAAGTCGGTGTGCTAGCATGAGTGAGTAAATAACTGACGGACAAAGCAAAGGGCCAGACGACGCACAATGCGCAACGTTATCATGCGATCTCATAAGCTGATAGAATTCGATAACGGATCATTAGTTGTGGCTGGCCGCGAACAATAAGTAAAGGGTGTGTTCGTAGGCCCTATCTCCGTATGACCCACAGCGGTCCACAAGCAGTGAAAGTATTATCTAGATATTCTAGCAAACCTGTCTAAAGAATGCACACCTACAGGCCTCAAACTTAAAACAACTGGCAATTCGGTAAAACCTAAGCCAGGTCTTACTCAATCGAATAGTGCGGATTTCAAGGGCACGACATACAACTGAAAATGTATTTCGCAGACCGAATACAGGTACTTTGTTCTGACAACACTCAACATGTATAAATGCCTTTGAAGCTCGAATCATAGAAGTGAACCAACGCGCCTACAATCGGAACAAAACAACATCCCCTAATAACGATATTTTACGGTGCGCACACATGGAGTGCCCGTATGAATCAGGCAAGATAATCGACCATTGTTACCTCAGTTGCCGGCATAAAGGACTAAAGACTCAGAGGCAAAAAAGGGGATCACATAACTCGACGTGCTGGGCGAAATGAGTCTCTCTCTCGTACCCGTGCCATGTAGAGAGATACATAAGGCTGCGTGTGATCTGACGAGGAGGTGCTGTAACTGACCAAAATGCAACTGATGAAATTCGATAACGACGGCCTGACGAATCCAAATAGAATTCGATAGTGGATCCTCGATTGTGGCTGGCAGTTAGCGTAAGGGCTGATGTTTAGGGTTTATTGTTAATGACAAGGTGCAAGTTAAAGCAAATAGTTAATGTTTGAAGGTACGGTCTGATAGGCATGGTTAGTAGTTGAGATTATTAGTTACCTTTAAAGTTTGCTTCTATTTCCTTCTTTTTAAAAAAGCGATTTGACTACGGGAGTCAGTTGTTCAGTTTCTTCCGCGAAATCAGGCAGTATTGTTTTGAGGAAAACGTCTAATAACTCAGTACTCCAGTCCCAATCCTAGATGATCTCACCGCAAAAAGCTGTTTGAAGTGCGTTGAAATTCATTTCATTTGCTTTCTGTTGGCCCTCTTCTTTAAATGATAAGGCAGCCAATTACTTTCATTATTAGCGCGTCCTTTTGGGATGTCGGAGGCCGAAATGATGCGCTCGTTAATGGGTTTTCCATATTCTTTACGTGGACGCGGAAAGTGCAACTGATGTTTGATTATTTACCCAGGAATGAAAGCGTTTAAAAACTTGATCAACTAAATTATTCGCTAAATGACAGCTTACAATAAAAAGGGATAATTGTATATGACAGCATAACGGGAAGTTATTTCTATATTTTTATATATGCGTAAATATTGAAATATATATTGAAATATATATTGAGAAATTTAATCATACTGGTGGAGAGATGCCCTAACAAGTTAAATACGCAAGTGATTCAGGCATGCTACTTTGCGGTCATATATGCAGAAAATAGTTTTTAATGCAGCCTGAAGGAAGTTTTTTTCCAAAGCTGGGATTCTGGGGTAAATGCATGATTATAGAATATGTAGCACACTGACTAATTTTACAACTCTACGGTTGACCTTTCATGAGTTAGCCCACCTACCGTATTTCAATCGACCAATGAAATCGAAACCGCCCGCGAACATGCGCTCACGCATGACTCTGTCCGTCCAGCAACGAAAGTGCACCGCCGTCCATCTGGCTAATTGTTCCAACTTATTCACCACACGCTCCGCACAGAGTACAAGTCTGCCCACACTCGAACATTTGTGATAGTTTGGAAGTTCTCTAGGCCAAACATGACATAACAATATCATATTATGATGAAAAGGCTACTGGACGAAGGGGGGAAGAAAATGGAATAAGGGGAATGCAAACAACTACCCGTGCAAATGATCAGCATCGCTAAGGCTTCGAATAACGTGGCTGGGTCATCTATATCCACACAAACGTTTACCATAGACGGGGCAAATCATGAAGCATGTTAGACCACTTTCCTACCTGAAATTAAAGGATTATGTTGGAACGCGCGAAGAGTCGTCGACTAGGCAAAATAATCTGGCCCTCCAAAAGTGGGGTCAGGTTTAGGCATGCAGACGGCTCAAGCGTGACAACCTTCACCTTACGAAACCGCGATCCGCACCTCCCAGCAAGTCGTGCATTACACTCCCTGCTTCCAGGCCCCACCCCCTCGCCATAACCTCACTAGTACACCCTCAGTTGTCTATCAATGACCGCGACAACCGCGCTGACTTCTAGACACAGTCCTCAGACCACAGCCGTTTGAGAGTGTCTCTTGTTCTGGTCCTAGGAGTCACGACTGCGCACTTGTGCGTCAGACGGTCTGGCTTGTTGCCCGTGTGCCCTCAGTGTCATGCTACCTGATTCTGACCCTAAACCAACATAATGCCATTCAGCAATGAAACATGTGATACCCGGGTAAGTAAAAGTCCGCCTCTGACGCTCTGCTGAAAGGGCGCCTTGCTCTGACACAAGCGAAACAGCTAACCTACGTCAACCTCCCCTGTGTATTACAGGCGGAGCGGAGTTATTCTGTGTAAGGTTACAGTTGGTCATACGTACTTGACCGCCAGCAAACCTCATTCCTGCTAACCACGCCAGCTGAACGAAATTTCCTCACCGCAGGCAAAAAATTCCCCACAAATTGCCATATTATGGTCCCACCCCCGATCCCCATTTTACTCGTTCTTCCTGGATCTTCGTGGTAGATGGTACTGCTACCGAACTCACGTTTGCTAACTTCCTAGCCGCTATCGATCTCCTGATTGACTTAAGGGAATTACACTACTACGTAAAAGACTTCAACTGATCACCAACTCCTAACCAACTCTACCTTCCTGACTCCTTTCCTTACCGTCTATTTGGGAAAATGGCATCTAACCATCCTAGTCTTACTAAGACTCACTTTTCTGACTCCCGACTTCACCGCGATATTGATCATCAAGCCGAAGAATCTATTCCACGCTTTTTCTCACACACGCCGTTCTGTCGCAAACAAGGTTACGTATGATCACATCTTGCAAGCGGGGATTATTCGGCAAGCTAACAGCCCCTTGACATCTGGGCTAGATCGCAGTTGGTAGCCAGGCTCTGTATTAAAGTTTGCGGGGGGTTGTTTACTCGAGCTATTTTGCGGGGTTCCAGAATGACCCATTTGGGTTCGGTTTTACATTTGAGGTTAGGGTTAGGGACCGGTTAATTGCTTCCGGTTTGCGGGCATTTAGACTTAGGTTTTCGGGTTACGGTTAGGTTTTGAGCGAACGATAAGGCTTTTGTATTACGGTTAGGTCTTTCAGTTACGGCTTTGTGTTAGGGCAATCGTTACCTTTACGATTTGGGTTAGGTTTATGGTTAGGGTTGCCCTTAAGGTTAACGGATAGCGTTTAAGTTTGACGTTAGGGTTAGGCTTTATGATAGGATTAGGGTTAAGGTCGCCGTCCGCTTCCCCACTGCTGGCTACTAACTGCGATCTAGCCGACTGACCGTCGGTCCTGAAAGGGACGAGCAGGACATGTAGAGTTTTCTTCGGACGCTGAGTTGTATACCATTGGTATTACAGTAAAAACCTACTATCGCGTCCATGAAACTGAGTGTGACACCGTGAGGATACGTCGTTGAGAATAGGTATCATTTGTGGAAGGCTGTGGAGTTCTGGAACTGCGAGAATACCATATACCAAGCGGTGCATCCATCAGTTAAAAAGCATAACAGGTCTGGACTCAATGTATTCGACATTGACAGCAGCGTTCAATTCAGTTGGTGGAAGAAAACCCCACTGTCAGCCAATCAGCGTCTCCGTAAGGGCACACGTGCATGCCTTTCTGTGCACTGAGGATATTGGGGGGGCAATAAATGCGGGCGCTAGTATGCCCTCCTCCAGGTAAAATCACATGAGGGTCGCAAAAGCTGCTTGCCTCCTCCTCCTCTGCATCGCTTTGATGACTGTCTGCCTCCTTTGGCGTCTCAATTTTACCCGGCAGCTGGTCTGGCGTTGGAGACGTTCTGAAACTCTCCTCTTCGATCATCCTACCCCGACTGAACAAGACTCGCCAAAGTCCGACATGCTACTCAGACAGGCGCGTCAAACTGTCAACGAACTATGGAGGCTGACTAACACCCGCTTCAACATCCACAATCAAACATCGCCACCAATAAGACAATTAAACAGTCTCCTGTCTCAAGCCACACTTCAGCTCACGGTCAGATTGAGTCTTCTGGACAAGCTCAGCGGTCGGCGAGAAAAAAGACGTGAGAAAGTGGATGCCCTGAGCTCAGAATTGCGACACCAGATTTCCAGTCTGCAGAATCCCCACGACTGTAGTCGGTCTCGTTTCGCTCTGGCAGATGTGTGTTGCGGGTGTGGATTAGGGTGTCTAGCGCATCACATGGCCTTGAAATTCTCCTATTCCTTCGCGACCAGTCGCACTCTGCTGGTGCAGAAGACAAATGACTGGAAAGACTTCTTCATGCCGCTGTCTAACTGCTCGCTGACGTATGCCGAAGGACAGCCAGACGTTCCTCGTCTAGAAAACACACTTCCGAAGATAAGCAAGGGTTACCATGCCCCGGCAATGCCAAGGGAGTGGTCAGCGAAACTAAGCGATCCACTGGGCGATCCTTTCCCATGGTACCGTGGACATCTGCTGGATTACATTCTTCGTCCAGGACATCCGGCGTTGCACCACGAACTAGAAATGGGGTTGCGGCATTTGAGGAAAGATTTGGACGGCAAACGGTATGAGGGACCAACAGCTAGTGTACACGTTCGTCGAACCGATAAACTCCATGTTGAAGCTTCCTTCCATGCACTTGAGGAATACATGCGACACGTCGAACGCTTCTTCGATCTAAAGGAGGTGGAATACAGTTTAGAAACTGGCAGTACAAGCCCACCTATCTGGTCTGGACGAAGACGTGTCTTCTTGGCTTCTGATGATGCATCAGTTTTTCAGGAGGCCAGATCGCGATACCCGAGGTACGAATTTACTGGTCAACATAGGAACGGAAGCGCATACAAAATTCGCACGTCTGCCGTCGGTCTGTTCTCCATCACGCTGGACCTGCATCTCCTGGTTGCGGCCGACTTCCTGGTTTGCACAGGCAGCTCCAACATTTGCAGGCTTGCCTACGAACTGCTCTCGACAAAGTCCCAGATCCACGGTGATGCCGTCTTCCAGATGCAATCAGTGGATAAAATGTACGAATGCAGCTTCTCCCAACAGCGCTGGTGGAGAGCCATTGCAGACTTCAAGCAGGAGGGTGTCCTGTTGGGGGACCGTGTGTCCATCACATCAACACAATGGGACGGCTTTGCGCAGACGACTGTCATGTCGCCAAAGAAGCGTAAGGCTGCCCTGCCCGCTTACCTATTTCAAGAGATTGTTCAAACGGTCTGGTAATAGGCGGTATCCTTTTTAATACGCAGAGGGATTAAAGTGTCAAATGTCCAACTTATTCATCATTATTCTGCTCTCAAGCTGCGCAGTATCTTGTGATTCACGAACATTCAAACAAAGCGTTGGTTTTCCGGGCTCCGGGGCTATAGTTAATTGTGAGAAATAAGTTGGTTTCTGGTTGTTGGCAGAGGTTAATGAAAAAGCATAGCAAGTGTCCGTCTTGGCTGTAGAGAGCTTCCTTGATTAGAAAGTCAAGGGTAAATTCGAGTTCCCTAAGATGGCGTTGAAGGATAAACTGGCAGTCCATATTATAGGCTTTGACGATGACGGAGCTGGATGCATCAGCATAAAAGTGAGCGAGAGAATGTTCCTTAAAATCCCCATTGGTGTCCGATACCTTGACAGCATAATTGCAGACAAAAGGGAGGCCTCGTAAAACATGAACAACAAAACGCTGGGAAATCTGCGAGACATTTAATGTGCTAAGTGTTATGCGAGGGAATTCGAACAAGAGTGGTTAAACCTTTGCGTGGCATGCCAGTACTCACCATATTATACGTGCTGCAAATATCGCCGGCTTTATATTGCCTAACTTTTCCCCGGTTAGCACACCAGCCCTCTGTTTCCTCGATACCTCTGATTGGTTTCAATTGCCGTTTCCATTTGAACAATCTAAATGTAGTCGTTAGAGCCATTTTGAGAACGACCTCGGTGACGACGGCAACTTTGCGTTAAGTCCGGCCGATGCAAGGACGGATGCGAGGACGGTTTTGCCGATACAATTCTGAATATTAGTGGATAGGTACTCATCAGGCCTGTTAACCTCGCTCAAGGTCATGTAATCATCCAATGGCAGCCAATCATCCACCTTCCGTCTAGGAACCATTCGCAGTGCAGTTGTCCAGGGGCTGTCAACATGTCGAAAAATCCCCGCTTCCAAGATGTGATCATGTCTAATCTTGACTGCGACAAAACGCCGTGTGCAGTAGAAATCGGGGAACAGATGCTTCGGCTTGATGATCAATATCTTGGTGAAGTCGGGAGTCAGAAAAGTGTGACTTAGTAAGACTGGAATATTTTGTCGGCAGTTTTCCAAATGGACGGTAAGGACAATTGTCAGGAAGGGAGTGTTGTTTAGAAGTTGGTGATCAGTTAAATTCTTTTGCGTAGTAGTGTAGTTCCCTTAAATTTATATGAATGTCCATAGAGGCTAGGAAGTTATCAAACAGGAGTTCGGTAGGAACACACTCTACCACGAATATCTAGGAAGAACGAGTAAAATGGGGATCGGGGGTAGAACCAAAATATGGCAATTTGTGGGGAATTTGCTGCCTGCGGTGAGGAAATTTCGTTCAGCTGGCGTGTACAGTATGAATGAGGTAAGCTGGTTGTCAAGGCCCTAAGATCAACTGTAACCTTACACAGAATAACTCCGTTCCGTCTGTAGTACACAGGGTAGGTTGACGTTAGTTGGCTGTTTTGCATGTGTCAGAGCAAGGCGCCCGTTCGGCAGAGCGTCAGAGGCGGACTTTTACTTACCCGGGTATCACATGTTTCGTTGCTGAATGGCATTATGTTGGTTTAGGGTCAGAATCAGGTAGCATGACACTGAGGGCACACGGGCAGCAAGGTAGACCGTCTGACGCGCAAGTGCGCGGTCGTGACTCCTAAGACCAGAACAAGAGACACTCCCCTACGGCTGTGGTGTGAGGATTGTGTCTAGAAGTCAGCGCGGTTGTCGCGGTCATTGATAGACAGCTGAGGGTGTGCTAGTGAGGTTATGGCGTAGGGGTGCGGCCTGGGAGCAAGGAGTGTAATGCACGACATGCTGGGAGGAGCGCATATGTAACGCGGCGGGCCAGTGACACCTCGTGGCCCTGCCACTGATCGACCAATCAGAGGACGGCATGCGCGCACGCAGTTGGCGACATGCGTGGGCATGAAAGTGCACACGGTCTTGTAGTTGTGGCTGATCGCGGGTTCGTAAGGTGAAGGTTGTCACGCTTGAGTCGTCTGCATGTCTAAACCTGACCTCACTTTTGGAGGGCCAGATTATTTTGCCTAGCCGACGACTCTTCGCGCGTCCCAACATAATCCTTAAATTTCAGGTAGTAAACGGGTCTAACATGCTGCATGAATTGCCGCGTCCAAGGTAAACGTTTGTGTGAATATAGATGACCTAGCCACGTTATTCGAAGCCTTTGTGATGCAGATCATTTGCACGGGTAGTTGTTTGCAATCCTCTAATTCCATTTTCTTCCCCAGTTCGTTCAGTAGCCTTTTCATCATAATATGATATTGTTATGTCAGGTTTGGCCTAGAGAACTTCCAAACTATCACGAATTTTCGAGTGTGGGTAGACTTGTACTCCGTGCGGAGCGTGTGGTGAATAAGTCGGAACAGTTAGCCAGATGGACGGAGGTGCACTTTCGTTTCGATTTAATTGGTCAATTGAAATACTGTAGGTGAGCTAACTCATGAAAGGTCAACCGTAGAGTTGTAAAATTAATCAGTGTGCGACATATTCTATAATCATGCAGTTACCCCAGAATCCCGGCTTTGGAAAAAACTTCCTTCAGGCTGCATTAAATACTATTCTCTGCATATATGACAGCGTAATTGGCATGCATTTTTTCCCATTGATTTTCGATGTCCTTACTAATTCAATTATACGTCATGACATGAAAACGTTCACTATTTTTCCATTCACTAGAAAACTAAGTCTTCTTCCAATTTCGTTCACATAGGAAGGGTTTAATTTGGTTTTTGAAAACATTCTAATTTTTGAGATTTTTTAATATTATGTAATTGCCGTTTATAAAACGCCATGCCACTGCATCTACCAATATGGGTTGTAAAATAAACGATATGGATCAAATCTATTGCTTAATCTTATGAACCACATATAGACCCTTCTTAATACCGTAGATAATTGTATGGTCTTCCGTAGACTGAAAATATACGACTTGTAGTGTAAAAAACCTGAATGCAAATCTATCGGCGGATTAGGGTTCAAAATTATCCGGGAATCGGCAAAATTTATGAAAAAAAACCGAATCATACCCATTCTTTGTGTATCAAATTAGACGAAGAATTAATATGCTACCCAATGGGCAAAAATGAATATTTTTATGCATGTTTTTATGGAATAAAAAAGAATTTTTATGGGCATCACAAATCAATGGGGAAACGTATGCAAACAAAATAGTCATTTTTTACAGAGTGTGGTTTTCGCCTGTGATAGAAAAAAGTTATTTCGAAGTCCGGCATCTTGAAGTAACTGAATTATTGTATAATGACGCTGCAGGATGATTAGCTTTACAAGCCTACATACTTAATATATTTTCGAAACGATAACGCATGTCGCAATTTCGGTTGACATTTCATGAGTTAGCCCATCTACTGTATATATGATTGGTCGAATACTGTCACATGAGCTAGTCTGTGGTTAAGAGCCTCCAGTTGCGCCATATCCGCTCTGAACATCAAACCGGACGAAATAGCGGCCCTGCACCAACCCCCACCGAACGCTGCCTACAGTTCTCCTCGCATGCGAGTTAACAGCACCGATCTATAGGCCGAGGACAACTTCGCCTACTTAGGCAGTACACTGGCACACACTTAATCAAAATCGGCGACGAAGCTCACCGGATCTTCCAGGCCAGCCAAGCATTCTGCCGGCTGCAGAATTTCCTGTTCAATCGCCACAATCTGCACGTCAACACAAACTGAAAATGTGGAAAGCGGTTATTTTGCGAACGCACCTGTATGACTTGGACATTCTACGAGAAACAAGCGTGAAACATCAATTTTTTCGTTCTACGTTGTCTGCGCAGGACGCTAAAATTGAGGCGGCAGGTTGGGATCCCGGACACAGATGCTCTGAAAAGGAAAGAGTTGATGAAATAAATGGAGGCCCGCCCCTAGGTTCTTGTGATCACATGACATTAATGTGGGAGTCGACATTCGTAGCTGTCTCCGAACGAAGCTCAGTGAGTTTAAGAAAAGTCTGGCGGGGTAACTTTGAGGCAATAAAATCAGAGATTGGACACACACTATGGGCGGAAGCATTACGAGGAGATGTCAATGAATGCTGGACAACCTTTCACTCAACTATGAGAGACTTGATTGAACGATACTGTCCCCTCAAGAAGCTGGATCCGTCCAAGTCACCTGGACAAGATGAGATCCCAGGTGTACTCCTTCGTGAGCTAGCTGAATAATTAGCAGAGCCACTTTTGAATTATCTTCCAAAAATCGCTGGAAGCTGGCAAACTACCTGACACATGGAAGATGGCAAACGTCGTACCTATCCACAAGGGAGCTTCACGGCTACGTCCCACCAACTACCGGCCTGTGAACCTGACATGAATTTGCTGCAAAATAAGGGAAAATTGAGTTAAAAAATCGATTAGAGCACTATATACATTCCGCTGTCACATCACTTCAGTTCAACATGGCTTCTGCGAAAAGAGGTCCTGTCTCACAAACTTACTTTCGTCACTCGAACATTGGTCAAAGACCATGAATGACGGACATCCAGTTGATGTCATTTAGTTTGACTTCTACCGAGCGTTCGATTCCGTACCACATAAACACCTCATTGAAAAGTTATCAGGAGTAGGAATAAGAGGAAATCTTCTGAACTGGATTCAAGTTTTTCTAAACGGTCGTCGACAAAAAGTCACTGCGGGTGGCTACTTCTCAGAATGGGCACCTGTTACAAGTGGAGTCCCACAGGGGTCAGTTCTTGGGCCGCTCGTCTTCATTATCTATGTAAATGACCTAGTACTGGAAGTGAAATCGGACATAGTGTTTTTTGCAGATGATCATTAACTTTGAAGATCGATAAAAGAAGAAGATGACGTCAAGATGCTACAAGAGAACGTAGAGAATTTGCCCGCATGGAGCGAGAAATGGTGCATGAAATTCAACGTCAAAAATGTGCCGCAATGCACGTAGTGTCATCAAGGCAAAGAACAAGTGCACCCCCACGACAGTAT